GATCAAGAGTGAGTTAATATGCTTAACAAAGCAGAAATGAATGTGGTGGACAAGGGAAGCACCCATTAGAAGACCACGGTCTCACTGCTGGATACTATATTAAATATAAGATCATGGTATATGTCCTTTATTGCTGAAATTTTACCAAAGTGTGTTAGATAAACTCCATCATCAAAAAGGCATTATTCAACAAACCAGGAATTGGTTTGGAATGACGGGGGAATTGTAAATGTTAGGTCAAGATAGCACAGCTTGAAGAAAAATAGCTGAGTTGATATTTTATTTATCCAGTTCAGCTATTTTAACCTAAGTTAACAATTGGAGATTATGCTAGCTTTAGTGTATTTATAATCTTAATTTTAGTAATGACAGGAGGCGAGTAATTTGCATAATCTCTCTTTACTAACTCCACAGCAGCAAAGAAACGTGTATAACAAGAACCAATCAAAATGCAATAGGAAGTATAGTATCCACTGTCAATAGGCTCCTCCCCCTCTTTCAGCTAGCGACATCACAGACGGGAAAGTTCAAACATAACGAACAGAGATATTCTTCAACATCACAGACGGAAAGTTCAACATAGCGAAAAACAGATATTCCTCTTGAAACGAAGGATATTCTCAGTAGGCCAGCTCTGGAACGAAGAAGAGTCCTGTCTTGAATTACACTGAAAAGTAAATGTGGAAATAGGTTAGGCACTTGTCTCGAAACTATGAAAACAAGGAAATAACGCCTCAATTGAATGAAGAATAAAACTACATGTGTACTAAAACAACAACATAAGCATGAATAATTAAGTTATACAAAAAATACAGTAACCGTAGCTAAGCACGATAAAAACCCCCAGACTGTAACTAAATCTAGACAAATATGACCACCTACAAACACAAAGATAAAGCGCCGCGCTTACAGCAGCAGTAGCTTAGTATCCAACAGCTCAAAATAAATAGTAAAAACAAAGAGAACATTACCTGCGCTCTGGCCTAAATCCCTATGTAAATTTAAACAAAATGGAGGCTCTTTAGTTTTATTATGTGTTATAGCCCTATTTAGGGTTAATAGGTATGTAGGGGTTTATAAAACACCCCTTCATGTCTCATTAGAGACGTTTTTGATACCAGCAAAGTTTATTGTATGTGTAGAAGCCCTATAAAGGGTTAAATGTGAAAGGGTTTATAAAATACCCCTTCCTGTCTCACTGGAGATTCTTGGCTGATATCAGCAAATCTAATGGCTAGAGTGGGACTCACTTTTGGGGCTTGCCTTGACGTGGCAGGTGAGCTTATATTCAAATGGCCATTGGAATAAAACTAAAGAGCCTCCATTTTGTTTATATGTACATAGGGATTTAGGCCAGAGCGCAGGTAACGTTCTTTTTGTTTTTAAATATGACCACCTGATATGAATTGTAAGTACATAGGCATCAGAGATCTATGAGAAGAATACAAGCAGAGACAGGGGATAGACAAATGAGGTGGAAGAATAGCATGACGGAAATCCAGATAGTACATGCAAGCCCAGTGCCCCTAGATACCCCACCGAGTGAACCCTTATTGTCCCAAGGAGGGAGGGAATGGGTGGGAAAATACTCGCCTCCTGTCATTACTAAAATTAAGAAAAAGCCGTATTAGGACCTGGCCTAAAGTAAAAGGCCCAAAATGTGACTTCACAAGACCAGTCTGCCGGACGGAGGCTATCTGACAGCGACGCATCTGCCGCAAAAGACGACAAGGCAGATGCACCACACACTGAGTGAGCTCCGAACGCTGCATCCACTCCCGCTAGGGACTAAACCCATCGAACCCATCTGGCGAGCGTAGTAACCAACACCGGGCTATGTGGTCTAACATAGGAAACCAGTAGTTGGCCAGAGTTAGAAGTTTGGAGTGGGGCTGTAGCTTCAGACACACATACACTCACTGACAGACACACATAAACACACATGCACATGCACTGACAGACGCACACTCGCTCAGTGTCAGAAACAAACCAAATTAGAATCAGACACAGACTGAGACACATATACTCACTGACATACACACTCACTGACAGACACACATCCACTCAGTGTCAGAGACACACATTCACTGACAGACACACATACACAAGCTGACAGACACACACACTCAGTGACAGACAAACACATTCACTGGCAGACACATATAAACACTCACTGTGACAGACACACACACACACACACACACACACTGACAGACACATATACACTCTCACTGACAAACACACATACACTCTTACTGACAAACAAACTTACTAACAGACACACACGCAATTTATAATTTTGTTTTAAACTTCACTCCACCCAGACTCCCTACCTTTGGGAGTGCTGGCATGGAGTCTATTTCCCTGGGGCTTCTGGGCTGAGTGGCTGGGCATGCAGTCAATGTAGACGTGCAAGGGAGCTCTGATCTCCCTGTTCAGCCTCGCACTAGAAACAGAGCTGTCTGTATCGCCTTTTTTCTAAAGAAAACAGTTCCTGTTTTTCTACATAACTAATGTTTTCCATCCCCCTCATGTGTTTTTTAGCGCACTTTTTCTAGTTTTGCAATATCCATCTTTAAAACTACTGCCCAAAATTTAAATGCATACTCAAGGGGAGTCTTACCACTGATTTGAAAAGAGACAAAATTATATTTGGATCACGTGAATCATTGCACACTGTTGCCTAATTTGTGATTTATAATTGAACCCAAGTTATTTTCTTTTAATGTTATTCCTAACTCTGCCTCATTTAATGCATAAGTGGCTTGTGAGTTCTTCATTTCAAAATGCATGACTTTGCATTTATCTGTATTGAATCTCATCTGTCCTTTGCCTGGCCAGCCCTCCAATGTATCCGAATCCCTCTGTAGAGAAGTTATATCATGTTCAGATTGCATTTTCTTAACTAGTTTTGTGTCATCTGCAAACACTGACACATGTCTTTCAATGTCCACTTCAAGATCATTTATAAACAGATTAACGAGAGAAGTATTTACAACTACTCAATGAACTCTATCTTTAAGCCAGTGTTCTATCCAAGAACACAATTTTTCATCTTGACAAACTAATTTCAGTATTACTATTAACCTTTTCTGTGGAACTGTGTCAAATATTTTAGCAAAATCCAAGCAGATCACATCTGCTAAAGCACCATAATCTATATTTCTACAAAATTTTTCATAGAATGCAATTAAGTGAGTTTCATATAATTTCCCAGCCATAAATGTTAAGCTCACGAGTATGTAGTTTCCTGGTTGAGTTTTTGAACCCTTTTTAAATATGGGCACCACATCTGCTTTTCTCCAATTCTCTGGTACAATTCCTGAAATGTATCCTGAAAAAGGATAAACAGTGGTACGGGTATTTCTGCACTAAGCTCCCTAAGCACACATGGGTAAATACTATCTGGACCTGTGGCTTTGTTCACATTTATTTTTTAAATTTCTGAAGCACTCTATCCTGTGTTAGCCAATTACTTGTTTGCTGTAAGGCTGATTTTTCTTCCCTATAAACTGAAGACAATTATTTAGAATTGGTGTAGCCGCTCTTGCTCCCACATTTTACCCAAACAGTACACCTTCCTCACGACATCATACTGGCTTTACTTATAGGAGTGAGAACTGACTAATGACTGTTAATCTGTTTTAATATTTGTCAAGGGAAAAATGAGGCCCACTTGCTAGGGGAATAATCCCAGAAACTACAATACATGCCGTAAAGCAACAGTATACCGAAGTGTGTGAGGACGTTAATTAGTATTCCATCCTAAATCTTTTTTTGTTAATTAAATCTAGATTTGAAAGGTACAGACTGCTTATTGTAATGTTGCTTTGTCCTGTGGTTCCTACATAGAGGAATTAAATTCTATAACTACCATAGCTTATCATGTCTTCAGTGATAAGATCACCATAGAGACCCACATCAAGGTCGGGTTAACGTGCTGGCATTGAAATAATTACACTCGAACCAGTGATCTCCGTATTGAGACTGATATCTACATCCCACTGGCAGACGTATACTGGCAATAGGATGCACTGGATATCATTTCCTGAATGGTATTTTTATCTGCATGAGAATGCAAACACTTGTTTGTTTAAATAGAGATTAAAACACAAACATGTGGAATGTGTGTCTCACTTGAGAATGTATATACTTACTTACTCATTCACATAGTTTGGTTAGTGGGCAGGTTCTGTATGGAGAAATAAATGTTTGTTTTTTCTGAGATTTTTGTCTTGAGCATCACATTTTACAGGTACCTTGGGAGTCAAGTAAACTTGCCAATGTTTGTTGAACCTTGACCCACCTATAATCCTTTTGTTGTTTTTGTTTTAAGGATTACAATTTGTATATTTCCCTAAACACTTCCTTTGTACAGTCCACAAAGTGTGTGCTCTGTCCACAAAAAGCATTGTATTTGGTTGTTTCAAGGTAAAGGAAGACTGTTTATGATTATGAGTATTAATATAATGCTTTCTTCACCTGAGCAGTGGCCGATCCAGGGGGTGGGGGGAGCAACAAGGAAATTGCCCCCCCTCTGCCCCCTAGCTGCCTGTCACATGGGGGGCACAAAGCATATAGAGAATTAAAATATGAGCATAACATACACATGAAAGTGAGTTTTCTCCTTCTCGGGCTGGGGATTACCACACACTGCCACCAATGGTATTAATATATGGACATATTTATTTTACCCCCTTTCTTATATATAGTTTCTTATAATAAAGTTTCTCCAGGTTACAGTAGCACTTAGCTGCCGGAGAAACTACAAGGGGGTAAAATAAATATGCTCATATAGTAATACCATTGGTGGCTGTGTGTGGTAATCCCCAGCCCGAGAAGGAGAAAACTCACTTTCATATTCTCCTTCTCGGCGGCGCAATGGCAGAGCTTCCCATGCTCAGCACTGCTAGGCGAATCGGAGAGCAGGCGGAGCTATGGTGGTGACGTCATAGCCCCACCTACTCTCCTCCAATTGGCCTAGCAGACCTCCTCTATTTACTGAAAGTAAGGGAGGCAATGGCGACCATTAGAGGACCTGGTGAGTCACAATGCTCAGTGAGTGCTCAGCCCTAAACCACCACCCAAAGAAAAAGCTACCTATCTACTAAATCCCTATGTATATTTAAACAAATGGAAGTTATTTAGTTACCTCCAAGGGCCATTGGAGGGAATGCCCGCCTGCCAACGTCAAGGCAGACCCCCCTAAGCGGGTCCTACACTAACCTTTCATCTTGCTTCCTTGTGCTTCATTTGTTTAAATATACATCGGGATTTAGGAGAGAGCGCAGGTAACTTTTTTCTTTGGTTTTTACTATATGTATTGGGGCTGATGTGCACTGTGGTCGTTGCTGCCGCCCAGGAGTGATGGGAGTGAGTGCAGGACTTATCTTTTTGTATTTGTACTAACCCACCACCCAGCTTAAATATATTTAGAGGAACACTCCAAGCACCATAACCATAACCACCATGTTCTGGTGCTAGGAGTGCCCTGATGCTTTCCCAGTGTAATTTGTATCTGGGTCCTGCTGGATGCTTGCAGCTCCAGACCCTGTTTTCAGATTCTCCTTGAGAATCCGGTTAGCTCCAGTAAGCTAAGCAGCACTATGCAGGACTGAATTCATTGACTGAGAGCGTCAGCTGAGTGCTGTAAAATGGTCTCACAGATAACACTGGGACTGACAATCTGAGGAATGAATGGTTCCCTACAGTGCCTCCCACCAATCCTCCATGTTAGAGGATGAGGAAGGCAATGCATCAGCGACATAACTCCTGCAGCTGCACTAGGGCTCACATGCCAAGGGAGCACATTGGATGGCTCATTCAGTAAAAGGCCACCAGATATCATAGTGTCTTCAGTGGCCCATTCAGCGACGCGGCTCTTAAATAGCGCGAAAGGGCCCCTGTGTTTATGTCAATGCTGGTAGGAAGTGGGTGTATCTGCATGTGTGTTAGTGTGTGCCTGTGTATTTATCAGTGTGTCTGTATGTGTCATTCTATGTGTCACCCTGTGTATGTGTGTGTGCGTATTTGCATAGTGTGTGTATCTGTGTATCTGCATGTGTGTTAGTGTGTGTCTGTATTTGCATGGGCATCAGTGCTCAGTGCCAAATACAACCCTGCAAGGATGGGCAAATGGTTCATCCCGAGCTAGAAAAGCATTGTGGGAGCTGTACGACAGATGGGAATCTATATTTTGGCCATCCTTGTGGTAAGGGGTGACGTAAATAATTCTTGCACTAGGGCCCTGTCTTATTAAGTTCCACCGCTGCAATGCATTGAATAAAATGGATGAGATTAAATTAGCCTCTCTCTTTGAAAACAGTTGTATTTTTATAACGTTAAATGTGTAGTGTTTGTTTGTTTTTTCTTGACTTTGTAAAAGTAACGTTGAAAGTGTTTTACATGGTGTGTGTTACTGTGTGTATACATATGTTAAACAGTGTATACAAGACGGTAATGGCAGCATGACGCAGAGGGAAGTTTCTGTACATGGTTACTAGAGAAAATCTAAAGGTTGTAGTGCATTAACCCCTTAAGACCGGAGGGCGTACTATTACGCCCTATTCTAAGCGGCTCTAAACGCCGCCGGGTGTAATAGTACGCCCTCCGGTCTTTTCCTACTTACCCGGTCGCCGGCGATCCCACGCCGGCGATCGCGGTTGAGGGGACTCCCAGGGAGCCCCCCGCGGCACGTCCGACCCCCTGGAAGCCCCCCGGCCATGTGAGAGTGAGGTCCATGCGAGGACCCCACAATCACATGGCCGGGGGTAGCTGGCTGCAGCATTGCCAGCAGGGGGGCTGCCTGTAATGACAGGTGGTCCCCCTGCTGGCTGGAAATAAAATCAAATAAATTAAAAAGTGTAAAAAAATAATAATATATACTTAGAATCCGTATACATACACATATACATACACACACGTACACCGTCTAGGTGTATTTTACTATTAATATACATATAATTATATATATATATTAATATCAAATTACACGTAGACTGATACTGATTAAATATATATATATATAATTATTATTATATATATTTATATATAATATAAAATAAATAAAAATGTAAATACGTTAAAAAATAAAATTAAAAAATAATTAAAAATAAATAATTAAAAAATATATAGATGTGTGTTATTTCGTTCTAACTGTATTGTGATATTAATATATATATATATATATATCAAAATACACGTAGAACGAAATAATATATATATCTATATACATAGAAATAACAAGAAAGTCCTGGACTGCACTCACGGTCTTTAGGCTGAAAATATTTCTTTATTCCATAAAAAGATCTTTTTATGGAATAAAGAAATATTTTCAGCCTAAAGACCATGAGTGCAGTCCAGGACTTTCTTGTTATTTCTATCTACTTCCCCATGAGACTGGCACCCGGCAAGTATTCTTTATACTTCAATTTAAAGAAATGTGTAAGCGTGAGTGCATGGATTTATAGACTATCTATCTATATACATAAATATATACGTATATCACTATATATATATACCTATATATAAATAAAAATATTTAAAAAAATTATATAGATATATACATATATATATTCACATACGTATATATATATACATATATTAATTCTACATATATATCTATGTAATATTTTTACATAATTAGGTATCTTAATTAATTACAATTAGCGGGACCTGCCTCACAACCCATGCCAAAAGTAAAGGGAATTTAATTTGCTAGCACTATATTTAACCCTATAACTTTCCAAGACACCATAAAACCTGTACATGGGGGGTACTGTTCTACTCGGGAGACTTCACTGAACACAAATATTAGTGTTTCAAAACAGTAAAATGTATTACAACGATGATACCGCCAGTAAAAGTGACATTTTTTGCATTTTTCACAGCACTTACACGGACGATATTATTGCTGCAAAACTTTTTACTGTTTTGAAACACAAATATTTGTGTTCAGCGAAGTCTCCCGAGTACAAGAGTACCCCTCATGTACAGGTTTTATGGTGTTTTCAAAAGTTACAGCGTCAAATATAAGGCTTGTGTTTCATTTTTTTCACATTAAAATTCGCCAGATTGGTTAGGTTGCCTTTGAGACCCTATGGTAGCCCAAGATTGAAAATTACCCCTATGATGGCATACCATTTGCAAAAGAAGACAGCCCAAGGTATTGCAAACAGGGTATGTCCAGTCTTTTTTAGTAGCCACTTAGTCACAAACACTGGCCAAAATTGGCATTTTTTACACACAAACAAATACTAACGCTAACTTTGGCCAGTGTTTGTGACCAAATGGCTACTAAAAAAGACTGGACATACCCCATTTGCAATACCTTGGGTTGTCTACTATTGCAAATGGTATGCCATTATGGGTGTAAATTTCATTCCTGGCTACTATACAGTCTCAAAGGCAACGTAACCAATCTGGCGAATTTCAATTTCAAATGTAACGTGCTATATTTGACCCTGTAACTTCCCAAAACGCCATAAAACCTGTACATAGGGGGTACTGTCTTAAGCGTGAGACTTTGCTGAATACAAATATGTGTATTTTATTGCAGTAAAAGCAAACAGTATTATGACATTGACCGTTAAAATGTCATGTAGAACTAAAAAAATAAAAAATAAATCATATTTTCTCCCATTTTTTTCATATTAAATTATGTTTCATATATTCAAATATTTGGCTGACTATGTTTCCCCTGAATAAAATGATATATAATAAGGGTGGGTGCATTTACTATGAAAGAGGTGAATTACGGTTGGACAGACATGTAGCACAAATGCCAGGTTTTGTTTACATTTTGTTTTGTTCACA